CTGCCGGTCACTCAAATTGTGGGGCACCCACTTGTCGAGTTTTTCACCTTCCCAATGCGTTTCAGACCATCTGCAACAGTGGATTTGCCAACGCCTAGCTTTTCTGCAATCTCTCGAACTGTTTGGGATGGGTCAGCCTCCAAAATCCTCGTCAGATATTGCTTTAGGTCGACCGCTATGAGGTTCATCTTCAAGGCTGAAATCTCCAGAACGAAATTTGTTGAGCCATTGCCGCACAGTGCTTTCTCTAGCACTATTGGGCCCCCACCTGGTTAATTTGTTGAGCTGTTTCGATTGCGGATTGCCCCAATTTATAGTCGAAGAAAAAAATCGTCCGAAGTGCTCTTTTCACATGCTTGAAAAAATCTTAAAAAAAAGGGTTTATCAAGCAATGGTAAACGGCAGTTATACCATCAGATATTGAGACGCAAGGAAAAGTGAGATTTTAATCAGCAAAGAATGTTAAAAAAAATAGTAGCACAAAACGTGCAGAACTTCCCACCGTTGAAGACCGAGTGCCACTTTATCGTGCCTTAGTTTTGAAGGGACAGCAACTGTGCGGCATAGAGGTCTGCTAGAGCACCAGGCCCAGTTTTCGGAGTGCTACAGTGATATCCACGCAGCAGCGTGTGCCGGTCACAATGGATAGTAGGATAAGGAGACACCTATTCAATTCGGTACCCTTCGCTTATGGCTTGCCAGTTTGACTGACGCGCACTTCTGCGCGCATGTAATGATTAAGCCTGCGTAACTGAACTCCAGGTTAACTTTTATCTTCAAGCTACCTATCTGGTTATATCAAGTCAATCATGATCGATTGCCAGTGCCTAGTGCTCATCACCTTCTGAGAACATCTTCCAATCGTTGGAAATACGGACAGCCTAGCGGTTGAAAGAGTATGGTAACAATATTGAGATGTCTTCATACCTTTCGGTGAAAGTGGTGAAGCATCTTCACGCATCTACCTGTCTTATCATTCCTCACTGGCAAGCATTTTTAGACGCTTACTCATAACACTGTTTGTGATATCTTATCAGCTATCATCATTTCCTGCCACCCATCAATGTTTATTCCAACCTACCCCCTACATCACCTATTGGAACCAAGGTTCCATCGTTGCTATGGCCCAAGATACGAAGTTGATGGCCCAACCCTTTTGGCGTCTTTTATGGCATCTTAACACATGTTATCACTTCCTACCACTCAGCAATGATTATCCTAATCTACCCCCTACATGATCTATTAGAAAAAGTGTCCCATCGTTGCTGTGGAGCAATACATTAAGTTGGGTACTCTCTCCTTTTGAAGCCTTCTATGGTATCTTATCAGCTGTTATCACTTCCTGCCACCCACCAATGTTGTTCCCAACCTGTCCCCTATATCTCCCATTGAAACCAACGCCCCATCGCTGTTGTAGCCAAGATAAGAAGTTGCTGTCCCACCCCTTCTAACGCCTTTTATGGTGTCTTATCACTTGTTATCACTTCCTGCCACCCACCAATAGTGTTCCTGTCCCACCTCCTACATCACTCATAACTTTGAACTCCTTGCGATGAAATCAAAGGAAGTTATGAATTTCCGGTCAAACACACATACACACACACACACACACCAACAAACGAACTTAGCGGATTATATACAGTAGGATGTTTCATCAGAAAGGGTGTCGCGTTGGTTCCAGTTTCTCGAATTAGTTTGATTACTATCCTCATAGTGAACAACCAGCCGGCGTCCCTCATTCTGAGATACAGTACGGCTTCGCCGAGCAGGCGCGGCTCCTCCGCGCTTATATTCTTCCACACATTTCAGTACCCACCGGCTTTTCTTTTATTTGAACAGATGGTCAACATTCTTTGACCAATAGCATGTTCATATTCCACATCATACGCGCTACCTTCAACACTATTACGGTGTATTTAATGGTGACAAGGAGCGTTGATCAAGTGGACAATTAAAAAAAGGCTGTTGTTAGTCGAGCATTTGTTCATATGAATGCAGGTAGGCGCGATAGAGTCACGTCCCCCATGGCGGGACCGTATGTCAGAGCAGGTCTGGGTTACCTGCTCTGGAACTGCTTGGAGAGTCTCTGAAACCGGGCCCGCCCACATGGACGCTCCACCCACAACGGGTATGCTTCACTTCTAACTAGTGACCCCTTGATGACCTACTTTTTCCGCTGTCTAAAGTATTCAAAAACCTCTCAGGAATTTTTAAAGTTGCCTGCTTCACCTGCCCGCACGCTCCGCTCACAACCGGTGTACCTCACGCCTGTGGACCGGTGACCCCTCGATTATTTCAAAACCAGTCGGATCGCTCGGCTGACGCCGAGCTCTCCTCCTTTAGCTCGGCTTCGCCGAGCTGGCCTGGCTTCGCCAGGCGCGCACAATTTGAACGCAACTTTTTCGACAGTGGGCTGCTCATATGGCGCTGTAGAGATCGAATCATTATAGATAGAGCAACGTTGCGGATCCTGCATTCCTAAGCATACGCTTATATTTGCAGCAAGGGTGTGGTCCGCGCCATAAAGCCCATACAACACATGTCGAAAAAGTTGCGTTCAAATTATGCGCGCCTGGCGAAGCCAGGCCAGCTCGGCGAAGCCGAGCTAAAGAGAAGGAGGAGAGCTCGGCGTCAGCCGAGCGATCCGACTGGTTGTTAATGGTAGTCTAAAAGGCAACACGTCTGGCGCCAACGGTGCTCCCCTTCGCTATTTTTTCTGTTTTTAGCAAGCAGTACTTCTCGTGACGGTGAAAAACAAAAATAAATCAAGAAGTAGGCCTATGAACCGCACCAAAAGTTAGCGCGGTCAAAATGACTTCAACTGGTATGGTCGAATGACCGGATAGCTTTATCAAGATAAAGGAATCATTCGCCGCAACATCAGTCCGTTTAGCAGCCGAATAAGTTCAGGTGCTGATAATATCGGAAACAAATGAAGGGTTCTCATTGAACAATCGGATGGGGATCAGATACGC